GAGCTGATTGGAGTAAAGATAAGGGGGGGGGGGGGGGAGGTAAGACCTGGAGAAGCCAGAGAGCTGCAAGAGAGGGATGTGAAGCGGAAACTCGGCGAGTCGGGAGCTCTGATTTATCTGCCATATGGGAAAGAGGAAAACAGCCGGCTCCAGAGGGATTTCTTTCCCTCTCCCGAAGGGAAAATTTGCAAGCGTGTTAGCAGGATATAGCAAGAAACGAGGCAGATTTAAGGGAGGAGGGAGTTTTATTAGGTGTGCTGCGGCATTGCTCTGTTTTTGGGGCTTTCCCATGGGTGGGGAAATCTTTGCACGCTCCCGTGCACGTCTCGCCCGTGTTTCTCCAGTTGGGTTAGGTCTGCTGGTTTTAGCCCAATTTCTGCAAGCCCAGCAAAAAGCAGATTTCCATTTGTGTTTACTCGGCACAATTACTTGTGCGGGTGTTGGGAGATTTGCATGAAGCCTGCGGGCTTTGATCTGCAGAATAAACATCCCAAAAAGGCATTATTAAAAATTGCATCGTTGCTCGTGGGGCGTTCATGGGCTGCAGCGACAGTTGCAAAAAGTCATGGCATAGTTTGTGGGTGGGATCTTTGCTGGAATCGTTGGCATGCGTCTACGTTGTGGTTGCACCGGCGTTGGTCTGATTTGCACTTTGCAGTATTTGTGCTGGCTGGGAACTTGGTGAAGGGCTGCAGTTGTCAGTTTGGGATGGAAAAATGTGGCTGATGGTTACGTTTTTGCTGAGCAAGACTGTTTTTGAGCGCGTTCCTTCTCGGCTGCCCATCCACGAAGCAACAGCTCTGACGTCAGCTTTGCTGGTGGCACAGAAGCAGCACAAAACCCCACACATCTCCCATTTTCCCAGGGTTCATCTCAGACCCATACTTAAGCCTCTTCTTCCAGCCCACCTCTCCAAAATTCATCGCCTTTATTCCCGTCGTCTTCTTTGTCCTCCAAGAAGCTCCTCTGAACCTGGCTGAGACCTCGGGGATGGGACCTTCCCATTGCAGGACTGGCGTGGGATTGGGATTTGGTGTTTGCATGATGGAAATGTGGGTGCTCAGCGATTCCTCTCTCATGGGATTAGCAGGTTGCGATGGAAAACAAAGTGTGCAAGGCAAGGTTTGAAAGCGTCGGGCAAGATTTTGATCATAAATTATTCACAGTTAATTGCTCGCAGCAAAGAACTGTTGGAAAATTAATCCACTTCCTATTTTTTCCCAAGCACTCTCAAGGCAATCAGAAACTTTTCCTGGACAATTCGTGTCCGGCAAGAGGAAGTTTGAGCATTTTTGGGGTTCCTCAGCTACGTTTCACTTCAAAGCTTTTCGATTTGCCCTCCGAAAAAATTCACAATTTGCTCTTTTGGGAACTTTTGCTGGGCTGGGGGCTGGGTGGCACAAAATGCAAGTATTTTCAGGTTACTTTGAAGAAGTCTCTTTGATGTTTCCCTGTGCCAGTTTGTTTTGGAAGGTGCTTTAATGGTCTCCCTCTATAAAAATAACACTTTAAAATGTATGTAGGTATCTCAGCTCTCCACTTAAAAAAAAAAAGAACAAAGTTGTTTAATGCTGCCGTTCAAGGTACATTAACCTTGTCTACTAAAGCTCTGACTGGCTCTTGCAGGTTTTATTCTCATGTTTATGTTGCAGAGATATCCCTGGAGCCTTGTAGGGATGGGTATCTTCAGAGAGGAGAGAAATATTTAGTGGTAATTGTTGTTCTCATCGGAAATTCACTGTAGAAGCTCCCCCCCCGTCTATGGAGCTGGAGTTGGGAGGTGGATTTGCAAATATTAAATAAATAAATGCTGTTTTCCCCCTCACCCAGGGGAGATGTCCCATCCAGTGACAAACCAAACCGGTGCTTGGCAAGAGCTTTTTGGCATTGTCCGACATGGCGTTTCCCTCTCCCTTTTACCCCAGTGCTTATACATTGATGAAGAGCTTTTTTAGGAGAAAAATAGAAAAGGGGTTTGCTCTATAGTCCGGGATTTATCCTGCAGAAATATCAGATCTCCATCTGCTTTAGCCCGCGGTTGTAGCAGAAGCACAGACTCAATTTGTCCTTTTTTATTGGGAAATAACTCGATAACTGGATACTGGGAGGGGTACGAAGGTCAGCATTTAGGGAACCAGCGTCTTGGCCGAGAGCAAAGGATGCCCCCAGTGCA